AAAAAAAAAAGGAATCTAAACAGAAAATTCCATTTTCTTATACAATAGAGAGAAAATAAACTAAAAAATAATTGTTAGCCAGAAAAGATGGAGGGTTAGATAAGTTGTTCTGGATTCACCATGGACTAACTTACAATGTAAATAACTTTACAACATTTTCTTTTCCTTTTCTCTCCTTCTGGGGATCAAATCCAGGGTCTCAGTAATGTTAGGGAAGCACTCCACCTCTGAGCTATACCTCCAGACCATTTTGCCACATTTTCTATGATTCATCAAAATAACTGCTCCAGCCAGAACAAAAACACACTGAGTTAATAAAAGTGGGATAGGTTGGTAAGGTGTGCCTGCGACATGACTGTGAACAGAAGTATGATTTAAAAAAGCCAGGAGAGGGCCGGGATTTAGCTCAGTGGTTCCGGCACCTGCTTTGCAAGCGCAAGGACCCGAGTTTGATCCCCGGTACCAAAAAAAAAGCCAGGAGACACATGAACAAATACTGTAGGAAACTCAAGAGTTCAAAGGCACTGAGCCAACTTTAATAAGAATAAATGCTGGAGGTGGGGGATTTAGCTTAGTGGTTCCGCCACTTGCCTCGAAAGCACAAGGTCCCAAGTTTGATCCCCGGTACCAGAAAAAAACCCCTGAAATAACAAGTCAGGGGTGGCAGCACACACCTGTAATCCCAGCACTCGGGGAGGCTAAGGCAAAAGGATCATGAGTTTGAGCCCAGCCTGGGCAGCTTAGTGACTTACTGAGACCCTGTCTCAAATTTTAAAAACTAAAAGGGCTCATTGGGAAGGCCTTTGGCTCAATCTTCATTACAGAAAAAAACAAAAGAAACAAACCCAAAAGCAAAACAAAACCCTCAAAAAACAAAAAACCCCAAACAACCCAACCTTGAAATAGCAAATACTTATGTCAAAGGTTAAAAGTGAAGATTTTATGAAATAAGGCATAAAAAGTACTTAATAAAGAATCTGGTATCAAGTAAGCATTCAATAAATGTTGGTTATTGTCATTTTGTTGAATTTTAACAGGGTTTAAACATTAGTCCTATAAAGAATTATGAAGAATCTGTAGGGATCACTTATTTCTAACTATTCCTTGTTTTAGGGTGATAGTATGTAGAGTATAAAGGTACTTTTGAGTATAGGTAAGGGGCTCAGAAGGGTCTCCAGAACCCCTACAGCATGAAGCAGTAATTAAAAGTACTAGCTCCAAAGCCAAACAGAACTGGGTTTCTGTATCTTTGGACAATTTACATACTATCTGTCCTTCAAGGCCTCCCACGTATAAAGTGAGAAAAATTACAGTAGTTGCTCTGTGGGTCTACTGAGATGTTGCATACAGGTTCTCATCAGAGCCCTGTCACACAGGAATGCTTCCGGTCTGCTAGGTGATCTGAAGAGCTTCATCTGCCTTAGCCCTCTCCAAGAGAAAAGATCTAGCCCTATGATGTGAGGAACGTTGCTGTTCTGAATAGAGAAAAAAGATAACCAGTTCCAGCCCCAAATTAGATATAAATCAGAATATCTATTTAATTAACCATCTCCTAGCCCAAAATGCTAAAGCAACTTGATAGTACTACCGACAATCAAGATATTACAAGAGATATATAAACAAGGTATATCTCTGCAGCTAAGGTTCTTCATATACTTCTACTTAAATTCTTAAGACTCCAAAGTTCATTCAAATTTGGCATGAGTCTATTCTGTTCAAGTTAATTAAAAACCCAATAGGAAAACACACACCCACACACACATCCACACACACACACACGCACATATACAACATACCTTTTATTTCCTGAAATAATTTTATACAAACAAAATTAGTATCAATAAATTCAATACATTAGAAATTGTAACATCAACAGATGATATCACATTTATTTTCTTTAGCTATCTGTCTTTCACAAATTAACATAACAATTTTTTATAGTTAAATTCATTTGTGGATCACCTGATTCTTCAGCTGGTTAAGTGTTTGTCTCAAATTATCTGTTGTTGTTTGGTTACTTTTAAAAAACTCAGCTACTGCTGTGTTCAAAATTATTTTATAATCATCTTTGTTTATATCTTGTAGACAGGCAAGGTGTTGCAGACAGGCATCATAATTTCCAGACTAAAAAAACAAAAACAAAAACCACACATGCACACACAAAATTACATGGCAGCTTTAAGAACACATTTCCAAATAATTTCATTCATCTTTACCTTAAAAATTCTTAAAAACATAGTTCCTCTAAACACATTAATTGAAGTCACTAGATAGAGCAATATTTATATAAATCAAAAAGGGTGGACATTTATTTCCTAATACTCTCTGACACTGACACATACAACACATATATGTAGATAGATATATTGGTATATATGTGCATACACTGCTAGCAGCGTGTAAACAGCAGAGACTTGCCAAGAAAAGTAATATAATTACTCTACATTTTAATTTCTGGTAAATACACTTTGAATATGCAAGTATCCAATTTTTCTGCTTACATGTATATATCCTAGTAATCAAGTAAGATTTTTCTTTCATATCATTTAATGTCAGAAAGGTTAAAATTCTGACAAACTTTTGGGATTTCACTTTAGAGTACATTCAAGACAAAGAATTTAACAGAGTAGTGAAATGAAAAGACTAACCCACATATTTACAAGTTTAAATTTAAAAGACTTAAAAAACAACAGTGTGAGAGTTAAAACATATTTATGAAAACATAAAAACTTGAGAATGGCTTAAATTACTTCCATTTCTTTCACCACATTTAGTTAAACTCTTAAATGCTTTTCTGTTTTAAAATGAAACCTACTTCTCTACAACCTTAACTCTTGAATTAGTATAGAACAAAAATTGTAAATTTAAAAATTCAAGTGAACAAATTCATACTTAACAGTCCTAATGTGAACAGATTTAAAAGAGAGGCCATTTCTTACTGTGAAGGCTTGGAAAGCACTGGTGGACAGCTCCTTCTCTTGATCAGTGATCCCAGGGGGCTGACCTGTCCCTTCATGTTTCTCTGCTCCCTGCTCTGCAAACACACAAGTTTTACGGTTCTTCAGAAATGAAAGCGGTACAGTGAATTTGTCATGACTTCAATCTCTATCTCCCTCCCTCCTGCCCTCTCTTCTGCAGGGGATCTAATCCAGGGCCTTAAGTATTCTAAGCACATGCTCTATCACTGAGCTTCACCCCCAGCTCCTACTTCTCATCTTTCTAATGAAACTGCCAAAGTGCCAAAGTTAGTTCTCTCATCACTGAAATGTTTCCTGGGCCCTTTTAATTTTTTTGGTTATGTTTTGGTTTTTTTTGGGTTTTTTTGAGACAGGGTTTCATTATACAGTTCTGGCTGGCATTGAACTCACTATGTAGCCCAGGCTGGCCTTAAATTTACCACAATCCTCGTGCACCAGCCTCAGTCTTTTTTATTTTTTAAGTTGCCCGGGATGAGCTCAAACTTGCAATTCTCCTCTCTCAGCCTCCCAGAGTGCTAGGGATACAGTTGAAGCCGCCAAGCTTCACCTTTTATTTATTTTGAGCCAAGGTCTTGCTAAATTGCCTAGGCTAGGTTTGAACTTTCGATCCTCTGTCCTGTCCTTTACTGGGGATCCTAAAAAACATGAGTTCCCGTCTCCCTTTTATTTTGGCAGAACTAAGGATCCTTGGAGTTACACTTCTTAAAATACACTTATGTTTGCCCTTTAAATATACAAATTAATGATGGAATATTAAATTTAATGTGACTTGATTATGAAACACCTCCTTGTATCACTATAAAACTGCTAGAAGAATGCGCACTCTTTTTTTTAAGGATATTAATATTTATTTATGCATTCACATTCTATGTATTTTCTCATGGTCAATAAACTGACTCAAATGATTTAAGTTATCCCACCATTTAAAGAGAAAAGTCTCTACAATAATTTTAAACCATGGAGTTAGCTTAACATCGCCTCTGGCTGCTTTTCTCATAAGTTCTCTTAGTTCTTCCTTTGACACATAACAATAGCTTTTAATCTCATTGGGATCTGGATTCAAAGTTACATTCTTCCTCACAAACAAAATGTAATCAATTTCATTTTCACCCCAGATACTGTCAGACTGTGCCTTGTAGTGAATTTGTGTTATATAATCAATTTCTGCTGGTGAAACCTCTTCTAAGGGAATTCCTAATTCAGCTTTTAAATGCCTCTGTGCTGCTCTTCTCACGCCAATGGCCTCATTTTCTTCAAGCTCACCTGGATTATTTAATGGATGACTACAACAAGTGTTGGTAAAACAGCGTGGAAAGGTAATTTTAGAATCTGATCTCTGCTGTAGCAGCAGCTTATTCTCAGTGTTAAACAAGAAGACACTAAAAGCTCGATGCAATAATCCTTTCTCAATGTTTTCATTTAGGTGAAAATTCTTCTTGGTGTCACCTCCAATTTTATTGTCATTTTCATCAATAAGAATACACATCTCTGCCAGGAGTTGAACCTGTTGCTTATCGAGATGGCTGATATTTACTTCAGGCATCGTTATAAAATGTCTTAAGTGCCCCAGAACACTCAAGCTGCACATACTGCCAGCATAAGGCGCGGGCTCCAGAATGCGCACTCTTTCACTTAGAACATAATATAACCTGTATTTTGGGCCAGGGATTTAGCTCAGTGGCACCGTTCCTGCCTTGCAAGTGCAAGGTCCTGAGTTCGATCCCTGGTACCAAAAAAAAAAAATATATATATATATATATATATTTTTTTTTAATAAACCCTGTATTTCAGAGAATTTACTTAAGACTTATCTAAGAAAAAAGGCATTCTGGGGCTGGGCCTTTATTTCAGTAGTATAGCATGTGCTTAGCAAGCATGAGGCCCTAGTTTCAATTCCCAGGACAAAGGGGGAAAAAGGCATTCTGGCATTTGGGCTATCAGAAGTGTTGCTTCTGATCATTAAATCACGATTTCAATTCTTCAGTACGAAGATAACAACTGAGTCCTAATAGAGACAAGAAAAATCTAATAGTTGGGGCCGGGGATTTAGCTCAGTGGTTTTGCTGCCTGCTGTGCAAGCGCAAGGACCTGAGTTCGATCCGCAGTACAAAAAAAAAAAAGAAAAAGAAAAATCTAATAGTTTAATAAAGTTCACCAGTTTAAAAAGACAATGTTAAATAGGTTTGTTTTTGGCTTTTTCCTGGTACTGGAGATCGAACCCCAGGGCCTTTACACTTCAGCCCTTTTATTTATTGAGAGAGGGACTCACTAAGTCTATTTTTTTTGGTACCGGGGATTGAACTCAGGTTCTTGCACTTGCACAGCAGGCAGCAAAACCACCGAGCTAAATCCCAGGCCCACCTAAGTCTATTACTTAAGAGAGAGGTCTTTCTAAGTTAATGAACTGCCCCAGCCGGAGTCTAATTTGTGATCATCCTGTTTTAGCTTCCCAGAGTCCTGGGATTACAGGTGTGTGCCATTGCAGCCAGTTAACAGTTTGTCTTTGGAAAACAATTACAATGAGTTTGACTGCAAGGTTATAAACTATTTAAGTATCTGTTTGGCAAAAACTTTCTGGTATACAAAAACAGCATCAATTACTTTAAAATACACATACAAGGCTAGGGATTTAGCTCAGTGGCGTCGTGCCTGCCTTGCAAGCACAAGGTACTGAGTTTGATCTCTGATACCAAAACACACACACACACACACACACACACACACACAAGGTATGGCACATATGACTACAATCCCAGCTACTTGGGAGGTTCATGCATTAGGACTGCCAAGTTAGGGCTCAGCCCTGGCAATTTAGTGACTTAGTGAGGCTCTATCTCAAAACAAAAACCAAAAAACACACAGCAAACAAAACAAGACAAAACCAAGGGCTGGGGGTATAGCTCAGTGTAAAGGTTCTGGGTTCAATGCCCAGTTTTGAAATAAAATAAAAAGTTAAGAGAATTCATAGGCCAGGTGTACTCGCAAACGCCTATATACCTACTTTGGAGGCTGAAGCAGGAGAATCATAGTTCAAGCCCAGTCTGGGCAACTTAGCAAGACCCTAGCTCAGGGGAAGGGAAAAACAGTATTAAAAATGTGACACATGGGGCTGGGGATTTAGCTCAGTGGTTTCGCTGCTTGCTGTGCAAGCGCAAGAACCCGAGTTCGATCCCCGGTACCACAAAAAAAAAAAAAAAAAAAAAAGGGACACAGGATTTTAGGACCCCAGAAAACAAGATATTGTTAGATTGAAGCAGAATCCTTAACTCAAAGTTTTAACAATGAACATACATATTCTTTATACATTTATTTTATCATTTAAGATTTTAGGGAAAAGAAGAACTTAGGAAACATTTAAGAAATGTGTCTTCCCTCATAAGGAAGTAAATTTAAACTAAATGTCAAAAAGTCTTGGTTTGACAACTTATCCCTATTCCTTCTTTCTTTTTTTTTTCATTAAGTTTATTGGTACATTTTAGGTATACAATAGTTACATTCATCATTGGGATCTTGTACCTTTACATGATTTATCTTGATTCTTATTTTTTCCCCATTCCCCTGCCCTCCCTTCGCCCCCTCCACCCTTCCCTATTTATAAAGACTTCATTTCCATTTTTTTCTTTTCTCATATTTTTTCTTTTTCCTTCTTTCCTTTCCTATTCCTTCTTCTAAAGTGTTCCCTCTCTAGAATAAATAAAATTCTTCAACAGGACTTTTGGGCCCACCTATCAAAATGACTCAGAAATACAGGTCAGAAGGAATACCCTACAGTTTACCAAGCTTCTAGTCTCCACTAAAACAGGGTGGCTCATGTAGCTACAGCTGTCATCATCCCCCAGGAAATGTGAAAGTCTCTCAAAGTCCTCCAGGAAAAGAGAGAAGCGAACTTCCAGATAAATAAACTAGCCACTAAAGCTGACAAGAGACTCCAATATCTACATTTCTACATATATTTCAGAGGACTGGGCTCAATAAACCATCTACATGCTCATAAACCATTATTTTATCTACATTCTGTTACTTGAGGATAAAACTCTTCTTTTTCTAAACAAAAACACACCCCAATAGAACTAATGCTTTTTTCCTTACTGTGTTTTTGTATATTTTTCAAGTTTTCTTTAAGAGAAGCCATTAACTTCTATAATCATTCTTTTTTTCTTTTTTTGGTTCGAGACAGTTTCTTGTTGTGTAGTTCAGGCTGGCCTTGCACTCACTATGTAGCCCAGGCTGGCCTCTAACTTGCAGTGATCCTCCTGCCTCAGTCTCTTGAGTGCTGGGAATACAGAGGTGGGCCTCCATGCCTGGCTGTAATCATTTTTCCAAATGTTTTAAAAACAATCATTGTAACTGCTGAATTCTTACCAGATAGACTCTGCACATAATTCCACAACATGTCTTTATTTGTCCAAAAGTAGTCTCTATTGCCAATTGAAAGCGCACGTGACCGTTCGTCCACAAGCCTGACTTTCCTTCTAGTTTGGCTTAACGAACATGGCTGATCCTTTAGGTGTACAGAACTCTTTGACTCACACAGCTTGACAGTCTTTAAGGCAACAGACTTCATTTCTAGACAAATAATTGTCTTTTAGGCTTCAACAAAGTAGAAAAGAAATGCACTGCTTTTTCAAAACTGAAAAAGTCAGTTAACTGAAGGTACAGACACATTCCAATATAGAATATTAGCAATTCAAATCTGATTGGAGGACAACTGCATGCTACACTGTCAAAATATAGCCCTAATAAGGTTCAGGAAAAGTTTTTTTTAAAAGGAATTTGATTGTTCTTGTCACAAAATACTTATGATACTTTCATGAAGGAAAGATTTAAATGAGAAAAACTGCAACTACACCACCAAAAATATCAGGCACACTAAAGTCACCAGGTAGCTGAGGTTAGGACACCTCACATACGCTTTCTATCTGAAGAATAAACCTGACTCATCAAAACCCAACACAGCAAAGTGTGGCGGCCCACAGCTATAATCCCACATGCTGAGTGGCTGAGGCAAGAAGACAGCAAACTCAAGACCTGCCTGGGCAACAGAGTGAATTAGTGTCGGCTCAAAATAATAAGTGAAAAAAGGGCTGAAAATGTAGTGGTGCAGTGTGAAGGCCCTGGGTCTAATTCCCAGTACCAAACAATAATCTCCAAACATACAAATGACTGATTTTTACATAGCAGCAAGAAATAACACATGGTCAAAGGAGCTATCTATGTTCTACAATCCAAATTTCCTAAACCATGTTTTCCTCCACTTTGGATTGAAGAATAGGAGCTGGAGAAATGGGACAAGACACATTCCCAAGCCCAAAAGACAAGCCATTCATAACCATGAATGCATGAGTACCTTGTCTAACACTACAGAAATAAAGGAATGGAAATTTAAATCAACAGTAACAGCATGCTTTAAAGCAGAAACTGTCACTGCTGGTGAGTGCATGTAAGAGGAGCTGTTTTGTTTCGGTTTTTTTTGTTTTTTTTGGTACCGGGGATCGAATTTGGGTCCTTGCTCTTGAGATGCAGGCGGCGAAACCACTGAGCTAAATCCCCAGCCCGTTTTGTTTTGCTTTTGAGACAGGGTCTTGCTATGTAGTTTAGTCTGGACTTGAACTCACTATGTAGCCCAGGATGGGCTGGAACTTGCAGAGATCCTCTCAGCCTCTGAGTGCTGGGATTACAGGCATGCGCCACCACGCCCAGCCCTAAAAGCAGGGTTTTTTTGTTTGTACCAGGGATTGAACTCGGGTCCTCAAACTTGCGGGACAGGTGGTGGAACCACTGAGCTAAATCCTCGGCCCTAAGAGCAGTTTTTAATGCATAAAAATGACTGAGATTTACTTTAGATTTAAAATAATAACGCTTGATTTCTTTAAAGTCATAGATTCAAAAAGCCTAGATTCCTCCCAAATCTTTACATCAACTTAGGCATCTTATTCTATTTCAAGGTGTAATTTTAAAGGGCTGTCATACATATTTGAGCCCATTTACACAGCTAAACACCTTCAAAGAAAAAAATTCTAACTACTGAAAAAATTTACTATTTGTTCAAATTTAGTAAAGTGCTTAACTTAAAACAACATTTCCTGAGAATTTATATAACTTATAAATCTAAAAAATTATAGTGCATCTTAGGTATCTGTTGTGTTCATGCAATAATATAAATACCGTAAGGTTTCAACTTAAATTAACAAATATACTGGGGATGTAGCTTGGTGATAGAGCACTGGCGCATATATATATATATGTTTTATATGAATTATTCAACTATATATTTAAAATTGGAATCATATATTACTCTTAATTCTAACATTTAAAAACATAAAATATCAAACACAGGTCACTATTACATCAATCTCCTATTCTGAATACTGGTAATTAAAAAAAATGAATTAAGCTTTTAAGATTTAACATGCTAGCCAGGCATGGTGGCACATGCCTGTAATTCCAGTACTCAGGAGGATAAGGCAGAAGGATCATCACAGGTTCAAGACCAGCCCTGGCTACATAGTGAGTTCAAGGGGAGCCTGAACTACAAAGTGACACCCTGCCTCAAACAAAACAAAACAAACAAAAATGGC